TTTTATTTTATTTTATTTTATTTTATTTTATTTTATTTTATTTTATTTTATTTTATTTTATTTTATCTTACTTTATTTTATCTTATTTTTATTTTATTTTATTTTTATTTTATCTTATTTTATCTTATTTTTATTTTATTTTATTTTATCTTATTTTATTCTATCTTATTTTATTTTATTTTATCTTATTTTTATTTTATTTTACTTTATTTTATTTTATTCTATTCTATTTTATCTTATTTTTATTTTATTTTATCTTATTTTATTTTATTGTGTTTTTACTTTATCTTATTTTATCTTATTTGTATTTTGTTTTATCTTATTTTATCTTATTTTTATTTTATTTCATCTCATTTTACTTTATTTTATTTTATTTTATTTTTATTTTATATTTTATTTTATTCTATTTGTTCTCCTATATTTTATTTTATTTTTTACTTTATTTTAGTCCAGTCTATTCTATTTTGTTTTATTTTATTGTATTGTATTTTATTCGTATTTTATTTCATTTAATTTCATTTTATATTTTATTCTATTGTATTTTGTTTTATTTTATTTTATTTTATATTTTATTCTATTCTAAAATCTTTTGTTTTATTTTCTATTTTTTCTATTCTATTCTGTTCTATTTGTTTCTGTTCTCTTATATATTATTTTATTTTATTTTATTTTATTCTATTTCATTTTATTTTATTTATTTCCTTTCACTTCAATTCTTTTCACTTTAATCTCATTACTTTTATTTTTTTTTTATTTCAATTCAATTTTTTTATTCTATTTCCCTTTTCCAATTCCCTTTTTCCTTTTCTTTTCTTTTTTTTAATTTTTAATTTTTAATTTTATTTTATTTTTTTTTATTTTTTTTTATTTTTTATTTTTTTTTTTTTAATTTTTTTGTTCTTTCCTGGCAGGGCAGTGCCTGGAGGAGCATCGTGAGTGACCCTGGGGACAATTTGGGACATTTTGGGGACATTTGGGGACAATTTGGGGACAATTTGGGGACATTTGGGCCATTTTGGGGACATTTTGGGACAATTTGGGACATTTTGGGGACATTTGGGGACAATTTGGGGACAATTTGGGGACATTTGGGACATTTTGGGGACATTTTGGGACATTTTGGGGACATTTTGGGGCCATTTGGGGCCATTTTGGGGACATTTTGGGGACATTTGGGGACATTTTGGGGACTTTTTGGGGACATTTTGGGGACAATTTGGGGACAATTTGGGACAATTTGAGGACATTTTGGGACAATTTGGGGCCATTCTGGGGACATTTTGGGGACATTTTGGGGACATTTGGGGCCATTTTGGG